ACCATTTGGGCATTTGGCTCAGCTTTTATTTTTCACGAATTTGGAATAGTACCTCTTTTCCTGATTTCAAGTGGATGACCTTTCATGCATCTAACTTCGGGCAGGGCCAAAAAAAGAATAAAGGTGTAAAAAAAGAGAGCCCTCCAAAGTACAATACGTAGTTAATGACCAACACCTACCAAAGGAAACCTAATACCAACATCTACCATGTGTAGGAAACAGGAAATCTAAAGTGCAATACCAACACCTACCATGGGCAGTTAATGACTCTGTAAAGAAAAAGAGAGCCGTGCCTCTATAAAGTGCAATACCAACACCTACCATGTGGAATCATCAACACAGCATGCGAAATCATCTTTCGAGAAGCAAGAAGGATACAACAGTCCAGAGAAAGATGCAAGAAAAGGCGGAGGATAACTATCAATGGCTTGACACTGCAAGACCCGTCAATAGAGTGCAGAGGCAGAGACCACACAAGTGTCTCCGGCAGCAAAATGAGAAGTGGTTGTGCAACAAATAATCAGCAGGTACGGTTAACAACAGCACACTTTAAATTTAATGGTACAAGATGATAGACATCTATTGTTAAAAACAGCTACATCCATTATTTCTAGACACGAAATGTTCCACTTACACGGTTTAAAATAACTACATCAGGGAGAATCTCGAGTTATCAGTCGCTTCTTCAAATTCATAGCACCTGACTTCGAAGCAGAACTGGTGTGTATTCACCTATCAAGTTGTCTAGAATCTTTAATTTAATTTATGCTCCATTACATCCTCTCATCGTTTTCCATGGCATACAGAGGCTTTCTCCACGTTTCTGTAGGGAGCTGTATGAAAAGATTCCAGAGCAAGCGTTTCTAGAAAGCCGCAAAGGGTTTCGGGAAGTTACAATAGGCAAACGCAGCAACGGGCTACTAACCCTCGGCGGGGAGGGTTGGAAGAGTTTCATCCATGATCATGAACTAAAATTTGGAGATTTTATGGTTTTTGAACATACTGGTGGGATGGTGTTCAAAACATACGTATTTGACCCTAGTGCTTGTGAGAAGGACTACTCTTCTGCGGGTTCTGAGAACTTGACAACAAACAAAGTACCTTGTGCTCAACCTCTTACTCTTCCCAATGTTGCAGGCATCAAGGGTGAGTTATTTTACTAATACTCTTCATGTAAACAACAATGGAATATTTTGGGGTTAAAAGAATTTCCAGTGTGATAGCTGATGTAAAATATGGTTATTCATATGCAGAGGAGGAAGCGGAGGGAGCAGTAGGGCCTTATAATCCCCACTTCCGTATAACAATAAATCGAAGTAATCTCCGCCGCAACGTCTTGGTGAGCACAATTTGCACTTGATTGATTTATCATCTTGGAATTTATCATTTTCTCCTTTCCCCATTGTCAAAACACAAAATCCTAGTCTGTGTTAATTAATTTCTTTGATGAATAATAGACTATCCCTTCAAAATTTGTGAAGTCCAAGTATCTGAATCAGAAAACTAGCGTGACCCTCCGGAATGCTTCTGGAGGTGAATGGCAAGTGAAACTTGCAGCTTATAGAACTGGCTCTAAAGCTGCTTATTATACAAAAGTTGTCATGGCAAAAGGCTGGGGTGACTTTCATATGTCGAATCAGCTCAAGATAGGCGATGTTTGTTTATTTGAACTAGATCGTTCCACTGCTCTTGGAAGTCCCAGTAATGCCGTCATGAATGTTCAAGTCATGTCAAACAATATTCCATCGACTTCCTGACTTTTCTGGATGTGGCATTCCCTCAAATCTGTAATCAAACATTGGAATGTATATTTAGACATTCGCGTTGGTACTGGAATTCTACTAGAGACAAAATTATTCTAATCTAATCCAAGCAAAGGAAGTTTTTCTTCTTGTTGAATTTGGTTTCTATTCTTGAATATATATATATATATATATTTCCACATGTTTTTGCCTTTTTCCAGATGAACAGTCTTACTGTGGATCATCACTGAATAATTTGTCAAACCATGAATATGGAGTTCGAGAAAATGCACATAGCTAATTAACATAATTAGTCAATGCCGAAGATGGCTGATAAAGTGAAGAATGTTCCCCTAAAGCAAGAGAGTTGTTAGAACTAGCAAGGCTGCAAAATATGCTAATGTGATTTTTAGGTATGAATGCGATGCAAGATTGAGGTTCCAACTGCCAAGATTACAAGTTTACCCAACTATGCAAGATTATCACAGATCAGAGTAGGAAATCTTGAAGAGAGTAAAGGTAAAATCCAAGTGCTTCAGGAAAGTCATAGCAGAAACTTCAGCAATTACATATTTACATTGCAGCAGCAGGCAGAAGGGACTGATTAAAAAATGGAATTTACCTTAGAATTTGTAACTAATCTCTAGTAGGAAGACTTTTATTTTTTGAGCGAATTTGGTCGAAAGGACTTTGATGCCCCGCTCCATTATATGGGTTTTTTTTTAACATAATCAGCAATTCTCTCCCCACGCGCGCTGTCTCTCTCTCTCTCTCTTGCATAGTTGTCATTCATCCAATGCTGATAGTGTACACTGTCAGTGTAGGAAAGATTTACTCTTTTAATAATAGTAGACAATCCGACACTTATCTTAGCCGTTGAATATTCTAACAAAAAAAAATCTATTATGCATTTCATTTTCGGGAAGGATTTAGCAGTGAAATCGTCTGTCATCAATTATAAATAAGATCACGTGGAAATCTTTTGTGTTCCAAATCAAGTTGAACAATTACAATCTGGAACAAGGTAGTAATAGATTTACAGTGACTATATGGTTCTACTGTGATTTCGGGAGGGAAACGCATTTCATACTTTTACAGGTTATATGCAATAAATTTCTCTTATATTTCACATATTATATCTTACATAATATTTTTGTCTTTAATTTTGATAAATCATTATCAGATTGGTGGAACCGACAACCAATACCAACCTAGAGAATTTTCTTCCCAGATCCCAATTAGTATAACAGATGATTCTAATCAACAACATTTCAATATACTTCATATGAATCATTCATCAGAGGGTTCAACAAAAACTACAGAGGAAGGAAATCCTCATAAAAAGATTTGCATGAGAAGGTAGATTTAATATACTATTTTATTTTCTTAAATTATAATCTTTACGTATTGTTATACACAACTTTGAATGCGATAAATCATTTTTTTCCGGTACTTAGTTATCCTGCTTTGCTATCATGCAGCGATAATGGAAAATCAATAAATACAGATTTGCACGGATAGATCGAGGAGAATGTTCAAACAGAAGAAAAACAAAAACAAGTTATGAAGAATAGAATATTATTTGACACTATTTACTGCATTTTTTATTTATTTTCAAGTTTTTTAATGTTATGGTATTGTTGAATGATATTTTTTCTATTTTTGAATTATTATTCACTGAATTAGATGTTCAAATTTATATTATAAGAATACTTTGTATTACAATGCGTACATAGTAATATACTTAAGATAAGTTATAATAGATTATACATTAAATTTTTATTTTATATCAACATTTTTATAAAATTAACTAAATAGTTTATTATTTTTCGATGATTCCCGTTCAACGAACGGGTACAAAACTAGTTAGTTAATAGTGTTGTAAGTTATAATTTATGCTTATAAATAAATATATAACCATAAAATTGCATTAATTAATATATTAATAACTTTTATATAGTTAATTACATATTAAATGTATTTAACTAATTTATATTAGAAAGTCAATCTAAAACTTTGGATATTTTATCGAAGTATCAACTATCCGGTCGAAATTCAATTATCAACATTCAATTACCAAATACAAATTTGGAAACAATTGAATGTTGATCTTGTTGAAAAAATCAAAAAAAATCAAAAATTTTTGAACACCCCAACAATAATGACAGTTTCCTTCCCGGAGCTGTATGCAAGCTTCCTTTGGCTCAGCTTTTATTTTTCACGAAGTGGATGACCGACCATTTGGGCATTTGGCTCAGCTTTTATTTTTCACGAATTTGGAATAGTACCTCTTTTCCTGATTTCAAGTGGATGACCTTTCATGCATCTAACTTCCGGGCAGGGCCAAAAGAAAGAATAAAGGTGTAAAGGAAAAGAGAGCCGTGCCTCCAAAGTACAATACGTAGTTAATGACCAACACCTACCAAAGGAAACCTAATACCAACATCTACCATGTGTAGGAAACAGGAAATCTAAAGTGCAATACCAACACCTACCATGGGCAGTTAATGACTCTGTAAAGAAAAAGAGAGCCGTGCCTCTATAAAGTGCAATACCAACACCTACCATGTGGAATCATCAACACAGCATGCGAAATCATCTTTCGAGAAGCAAGAAGGATACAACAGTCCATGAGAAAGATGCAAGAAAAGGCGGGAGGATAACTATCAATGGCTTGACACTGCAAGACCCGTCAATAGAGTGCAGAGGCAGAGACCACACAAGTGTCTCCGGCACAAAATGAGAAGTGGTTGTGCAACAAATAATCAGCAGGTACGGTTAACAACAGCACACTTTAAATTGGTTTAATGGTACAAGATGATAGACATCTATTGTTAAAAACAGCTACATCCATTATTTCTAGACACGAAATGTTCCACTTACACGGTTATAAAATAACTACATCAGGGAGAATCTCGAGTTATCAGTCGCTTCTTCAAATTCATAGCACCTGACTTCGAAGCAGAACTGGTGTGTATTCACCTATCAAGTTGTCTAGAATCTTTAATTTAATTTATGCTCCATTACATCCTCTCATCGTTTTCCATGGCATACAGAGGCTTTCTCCACGTTTCTGTAGGGAGCTGTATGAAAAGATTCCAGAGCAAGCGTTTCTAGAAAGCCGCAAAGGGTTTCGGGAAGTTACAATAGGCAAACGCAGCAACGGGCTACTAACCCTCGCGGGGAGGGTTGGAAGAGTTTCATCCATGATCATGAACTAAAATTTGGAGATTTTATGGTTTTTGAACATACTGGTGGATGGTGTTCAAAACATACGTATTTGACCCTAGTGCTTGTGAGAAGGACTACTCTTCTGCGGGTTCTGAGAACTTGACAACAAACAAAGTACCTTGTGCTCAACCTCTTACTCTTCCCAATGTTGCAGGCATCAAGGGTGAGTTATTTTACTAATACTCTTCATGTAAACAACAATGGAATATTTTGGGGTTAAAAGAATTTCCAGTGTGATAGCTGATGTAAAATATGGTTATTCATATGCAGAGGAGGAAGCGGAGGGAGCAGTAGGGCCTTATAATCCCCACTTCCGTATAACAATAAATCGAAGTAATCTCCGCCGCAACGTCTTGGTGAGCACAATTTGCACTTGATTGATTTATCATCTTGGAATTTATCATTTTCTCCTTTCCCCATTGTCAAAACACAAAATCCTAGTCTGTGTTAATTAATTTCTTTGATGAATAATAGACTATCCCTTCAAAATTTGTGAAGTCCAAGTATCTGAATCAGAAAACTAGCGTGACCCTCCGGAATGCTTCTGGAGGTGAATGGCAAGTGAAACTTGCAGCTTATAGAACTGGCTCTAAAGCTGCTTATTATACAAAAGTTGTCATGGCAAAAGGCTGGGGTGACTTTCATATGTCGAATCAGCTCAAGATAGGCGATGTTTGTTTATTTGAACTAGATCGTTCCACTGCTCTTGGAAGTCCCAGTAATGCCGTCATGAATGTTCAAGTCATGTCAAACAATATTCCATCGACTTCCTGACTTTTCTGGATGTGGCATTCCCTCAAATCTGTAATCAAACATTGGAATGTATATTTAGACATTCGCGTTGGTACTGGAATTCTACTAGAGACAAAATTATTCTAATCTAATCCAAGCAAAGGAAGTTTTTCTTCTTGTTGAATTTGGTTTCTATTCTTGAATATATATATATATATATATTTCCACATGTTTTTGCCTTTTTCCAGATGAACAGTCTTACTGTGGATCATCACTGAATAATTTGTCAAACCATGAATATGGAGTTCGAGAAAATGCACATAGCTAATTAACATAATTAGTCAATGCCGAAGATGGCTGATAAAGTGAAGAATGTTCCCCTAAAGCAAGAGAGTTGTTAGAACTAGCAAGGCTGCAAAATATGCTAATGTGATTTTTAGGTATGAATGCGATGCAAGATTGAGGTTCCAACTGCCAAGATTACAAGTTTACCCAACTATGCAAGATTATCACAGATCAGAGTAGGAAATCTTGAAGAGAGTAAAGGTAAAATCCAAGTGCTTCAGGAAAGTCATAGCAGAAACTTCAGCAATTACATATTTACATTGCAGCAGCAGGCAGAAGGGACTGATTAAAAAATGGAATTTACCTTAGAATTTGTAACTAATCTCTAGTAGGAAGACTTTTATTTTTTTGAGCGAATTTGGTCGAAAGGACTTTGATGCCCCGCTCCATTATATGGGTTTTTTTTTAACATAATCAGCAATTCTCTCCCCACGCGCGCTGTCTCTCTCTCTCTCTCTCTCCCCGACCTTTTATACAGAAATATTTTTGCACTTAAATGTTGTGCTGCTTCCAATAATCATAAATTGTAGTTTGGGAAACACCCAAATCTTTAGGAGTGATCCGTAACAGAATTGCACTGGGAAAAAAGACCAAGTTCTGGGCTTTCCCCATAGGGTTTTTATTTGCATTTAAAACCCTTTTGAAATTGGATAGAGGAAATTGTGGAGAAGATGTAGGATGACAAGAAACCTCACTTTCTTTTGGGCTTCAATCCTTCTTCTGATGCGAAGAGCAGTGGAGATCTCAATGTAACGTCTCAATCAGGAGTTGCAGTTTGTTGAGAAGACAACTCGAGAAAGAGAGAATCAAATGTATTATTGAATGAGGAATGAAGAAATGGAAAAGTTACAGATTCAGAATAATCTCTAAAGCTACTTGCATCTTTTCCTTGCTGCTTATTTATACACTACTTGCACCGCATTTCTATTTCTGTAACTAACCTCCCCTCCCCGCCTTTCCATTCCAGTCCTGCGTAACTACTTCAATCACACATAACAGACTGCAGCTGGCCTAACTAACATGCCAGCTGGCTAACTAACTCTGACGTGGCTTAGCTAACTCCTCCCACTACTAACCATTCCCTTAGAATTATTCTGGTCACACAAGAATTAATCCAAATACAAGAATGAATTCAGATACAACAATACTCCCCTCCTCAAACAGTTCTTGTCCTCAAGAACTGAAGTGAGGATATTGCTGATGAAGATCGTACCAGTATTCCCGAGTCGCATCCTCTGGGAAGCTGTTGCTCCATTGCACCAACACTTGAGTTGCAGCTGTTCTTCCCCTTCTCACCAACCTCCTATCCAGAATAGCAACTGGCTCCATAAGCAGTTGACCTTGATCAGTGAGGCGGGTAGGAATGTGTTGCTGCACTGGTTGATTGCCCACATGCCTCTTTAAAAGAGAGACATGAAAAGTAGGATGGATCCTAACATCTGCAGGAAGTTGTAGTGTATAGGCCACAGAACTAACCTTGGCGATGATCTGGAAAGGCCCAAAGTATTATGGGGATAGTTTCTGACACGAAGTGCTCCTGAGTGAGTGCTGCCTGTATGGTTGAAGTTTAACAGACACCCAATCCCCTTGCTCAAACACTCTTTCAGACCTGTGTTGATCAGCCTGCTGCTTCATTCGATTTTGAGCCTTTTGTAGATTATGTTTCAATAGGTGAAGAAGCAGCTTCTCTTGCGCGCCAAACTCCTGTCCACACTATCAACAGTAGAGCTACCAGGAACATAAGGAATGTGCAAGGGAGGGGTCTGTCCATAAACAACTTCATAGGGAGTGCTCCTGATAGCTGAGTGAGTGAAAGTTGGTGTTGTACCAAAATTCTGCCAAAGGTAACCAGAAACACCATTGCTTCGGATGATCACTACACATGCACCTCAGATAACCTTCCAGACATCTGTTAATAACCTCAGTTTGGCCATCCGACTGAGGGTGGTAGGCAGCAGATAGGCACAACTTCACCTTCAACAGTCCAAACAACTCCTTCCAGAAATGACTAATGAAGATCTTATCCCTATCACTGACTATGGTGGTAGGAAGACCATGGAGTCGATAGATATTATCCAGGAATTGAGCAACCGATAGTGCAGTGTAGGGTGTTTGAGAGGAATGAAATAAGCATACTTACTGAGTCTGTCAACCACCACCAAAATAGTGTCCTTACTATTAGACTTAGGTAAACTTTCCACAAAATCCATAGATATCTCAGACCATACCTTTTCTGGAATAGGCAATGCGCTACAGCAGTCCAGGATAAGCTACATTTTCAGATTTATGCCTCTGACAAACATCACATGCAGCCACAAATTTTTTCCACATCCTTCTGCATGTTCCACATATTTAGTGTACCTTTATAAGATATGCAAACAGAGGACCAAATATATTAGGTTGTGGTTTAGTAGTCAAGTGGATTGTTTGGTGCCTGTTGTTCAGAATATTTATGAATAACGAGCATTGAACATATGATCGAGGATTTGTACTAAGATGATGTTTAATATATAACTAATTCCCCACCCAGTCTGCATTGGCATCTACACCTCTTTGCAGTTGAATTTATGGCGTGATTTGTGATTCTTGTCTGCAGGCTAGGGACCAGGTTTCACGTTGAGAAGGCAATAGTTGCCAATTTTCATGCTGACTGCTCAGTGAGATAGCAGGAGTTTCTGTGCATAATTTTTGTTTTAGTAGCTGAGGGAAATATGCTGGAACCTCAATCTGGTTTTACATGGACCTGTATCCTTTTGGGTTTTTCTTGTCCATGTACCCCAGGAATTTACGCACTATGATTGATTCTTGTATCAGCTCAAGAAATTGCTCCTCACGTGTGGATATTCTGTTGCTGCTGTAAATTGTAGATATCCTGCAATCTGCTTAAATTGCTGACAATCTTGTTGTGAGATCAAAAAATGTAGATACATCTAGGAAAGGACTTGAGACCAGGCGTTTAAGTTAAATGTGAAACATCAAGGAAAGATGTATTGTCTATCTTTTTGCCTCTCTATTTGTCTCTAATAACTAACATATCTAACACCCCTCTAATTAACTCTTAACATTCTTGTCATATAATTTCTTTTACGCAAAACTCTCTCTAATCTCCAAATTTATGCACGTACCTCACTAGTCGATCACACTAGTATCATGCACTATAAAATTTAACATGTATCAAATTAAACATAGGCCAAGATAAATAAAGTAATAGGGGTAAGAACACACCTCAATCATCAAAGCAACTACAAATTCAAGGCAAGTAAGAAAAAAAAATAAAAGATAAGAACCTAATTTAGGCGGGTCTCACATTTTCTCCCCCTTAAAAGAATTTTGTTCTCGAAATTCTAACCCTTGCTCGCAAATAAACTCGAGGTCTCTTTTCTACTGGGTTTCTCTCCGATTCCCATTGCTTCCTCTCTCATGAGACTTATACATTTGAATTATTAAACACATACTATCCATTTCTAATCGAACGTCCTTCCTTCATTACTAGGCACAAGTAAGAATCCTTGTTCAAACCCAAGAATAAAGTGCAGAAATTGAATCATGAATAGGGGTTTAGCCCCAAACAGACACAGACATTTAACATCACTAATTAAAACAGCGAACACCAAGTTTACTATTTCCAACGGAGATACAACTTACTACATAAAACTTTCACTGCACATAGTCCAATAAATATAACTATTTCAAATAAAATATCACTAATTACTGACTTCAACTATTACAGCAGTTTCACCATTGCAAAATTCATTTATGTTGGGCAGTTCCTCACTTGATGTCCAAATTCACTGCATCTAAAAATATGCACCAGTTTTCAAATAACATAATTCAGTATGATTTTTGTTACAGGTTTCACACTTATTAGTTATGCATCTCTTCTTGAAGTGTCCATTCTTTCTTTTCTTCCTCCTTTTATCCTTCATAACAAGTTCATTGCTACCAATCTCTTTACGTTTTCCTTTAGTATCATGAGAACTTCCTTCACCCCTTTTAACTTGATTGTTAGTATTGTCTTGAGATGCTACTTGATTAGGCGAATACACCAATTCAAACTTATTTCACACCTCTTTCGGGATTCCCTCATATTTCTTTTTAATTCTATGTTCTTGTGTAGCAGCTCAATTTTCTTCGCATATTTCTTGTTTCCATCGTCTTTCCTAGTAGTCAGCCAATTTTTTTTAGAATTCTATCTCCTTTCGAAGGATGTCTATTTCCTTATACATATATCCCAAATTTGTCATCTATCGATTTACTGAAATCAAATGATAGCCTGCCAGGCAAATCAAAGGATGAAATGAGTAACTAATCACAATTGAAACTCTGGCCATATAACTCTTCCATTCCTTTGCTTACAGGTCACCTAAGAAATATAAGGCTTAACTATTCTCTACTTGAGATAGACGAGTTCTTGGGTCTTTCTATAAAAATTACTATCATTACTTATACACATAACAAAATATGGAATCATATTTCTTAAAGTAAAAGTTCTGCACCCTAACTCAGTCTCCATTATACACTTTCTTACAAACTTGCTCAAGCATAAACCATAATCCCTTACCTTCACTAGTGCCTTGTACCATCCGTCATCAAGACGATCATCCTAATTCTGTCAAAATTTACATACCAGTATAAAACTCACACCTTTATCCCCAAAATTCCATATATAATTCAAAATTTGTAGAGAAATATAAATCAAAACTAGGTTCCTATAGGGTATCATAGAACTGTAGAAAATAGAAAATGGTAGTCAAATAAGAAATTAAAAAAAAATACATATGTAATCGTAATCAAATCACAACAAAATTAAGGAAACACGGAACAAGGATTCATAAGTACAGGAGAAATGAAACAAGCTACAGCACTAACACCTTAAACATTCATGATGACTGCAAAGCTAGCCATCATCTATAGAAACCCTAACCAAACATGCACGAGACTAGTCCATGATGGCACCAATTCATCCACTTGCCTTGATTAGTTCAGTCTCAAGTCCAATACTAGAATTTTTCACGTTTTGACTTTTGCCATCCAAATTTTATCTCAAGTGCAATCGAGATATCGACCCTTATTCTAGTGCTCTCCAATTTTGGTATTCAGGTACAAGAATCCAAAATTAGAAAAATTCACATCTCAAGTCGTACGCTCCCAAGTGCAAATCAACCAAATTTAAGATTCCTACCTAACGTACATATTTATCTTTCTCAAGTATCATGATAAAGGTTTTATGCCTATAACTTTAATGATTCACAACTTACACTCAGGAAGAGCACTTAGTCTTTATACTTATTCACATTATGGGGATCATAACACCACTTGGCCCAAACTCACCCGCGCAGAGACACAACGATACAGCTCTGATACCATCTGTGACAGTCCCACCTCCCCGTAGGGCGTACCCAAGAGTTTGGTGGACCGTTTGCTCACTCTCGTCACAACTCGGTCACACTACGAAATTTTAGAATAATAACATCAATAATAAAGGCGATAACAAATACAACCTCCAATGTGTGCAGTTATGGATCTCAAGTGCTCGTATAATCTATGAATATAGCCATAGAGTCGAATTTACAAAAATCAAAAACCACGTAAGCAAGCTAGAAATTTTAAGGAGTGCTCATGCGAGCAACTAACAAAATTTTAGACAAAGTCTATGCCTTCCCCAATTCAACCTCTCATGTTCTCATCCCTGTAAGAAAATAAATTCATAGAATGAGTTAAAGCCTAGTGAGATTTCAAGAAAATAGGCAAGTAAACTCGCATACATGATACTATTCACAGGATTTAGAAAATAAATCGTACTCAAGTAGACCATGACATATGATTTAGTATCAAGTAACCAGATATATCATCCGTTAATATACGGTAAAGAATACATTTATGTGAAAGGATATTAGGTTGCTCTCAGCAGCAGATTCCACAGCTGCTTGTTCGAGGTTCGTTGACTCTCCGTTAACTAGGAAATTATAATATCGTAGATCACCACTAAACGTCAATCTCCATCCACCGATCATCCTCCTACCGGGTCCGAACACCAAAATACCCATGGTTCGTCAATCTCATTGACAAACCCTTTACCGGCTCAATTTGACCAACTAGCCATGTGGTTGGCCTTATAGCCCCAGGTATTCAAGAATCAAGTATTCATGATATGCCTTAAAGTCCCAAATGTTCAAGAATTCATGAGTGGAGTCGTTGGTTGTTATCTAACACTCACGCAGTTATTGATTGGAGCCATTAGTTTTTACTTAACGCTCCGTATTAGATATTTCATAGTGTTCAGATTAGAGTTTCAATCAGAGTAAAGAGTATTAGGAAATTCTTCATTTACCTAAGGTTGCCCAACTTACTCGACTGCTCTAAACTGGTTTCAAGCAAGAGGTCTAACGAGAGTTCAACTCAGCCGTTATCGATCTACATTTATTCATACGTATAAGTAACCCAAGTTCCAACTTACCCGACATCTCGGATAAGGGTCTAAGGGTCCAGTTCAACAGCTGTAAGAAAAATACAGCTGGCCTACATTCATACATACATATACATGCAAGATCAAGTAATTCAAGTTCACAGAAATTGAGTATACATAAGAGCACACTCGTCTAGACAGGATCAAGTCACAAGTAAGGTCAACATATCATGTTTTCAAGCATTTCAAGTATTTCAAATCCAATACAGGTTACTTGTAAATCAAATTTGCTGTACATGCATGAACAAGATATCAAAAGTTTAGTCGAATTAGATCAAGTGCGATAAAGTACACACTTGCCTATGAGATGATAAATCAAATGCTATTAATTTCTAACAGCAATGAGCAAGAAACATGCAATTGGAACACTCACTACGGCAACAAACTTAAGTGTTTGCCTTAGGAACACTTTCGGCCTCACCTTCAAATCCTAAAATCAAGTATGTAAAGTGCCATGAGATCCCCTACTCCAAGCTGCCATATTCAAAGGAAAATAGTTCCAAACCAACCAAGTTATCTCAACTCCAATCATAAAACCAAGCTCACAATGGTTCTACAACTCCAACTTGAAGTTGGAAATGAAAACAAGAACAACTTTTGAAGAATAGAATTTTCTCTAGTTTTACGCAATACTATTTAAAAATCATATCTCAAGTTTCTTAAGTCCAAAATTTATAAACTTTATACGTTGATAGATTCAAAGGATTAAATTTTCAGAAGACACATTTGTAAGATTCTATCCACAAATCAGTCAAATTCAAGTCTCAAGTTGCTGTTTCATCCGATAGAAAAACAAACAGGTGTGAAAATTCAGTCAACTTTGGAAAATCACAGATATTCATAAGATTTGAGAAAATTTCTAAAATTTTCATGATAGAAAGCACTTTGAATCTAGTTTCAAATGCAATAAACGGAACTTAATTCTGACTTTTCTACACAAAGTTATAACTAATTTCCCAAAGCTGTGCAAAGCTTCCTGTGGAAATTTCCAGCAGCAAAACAGTGAAGAAAAACAAGGTAGTCCACCTGTTAGAACCTTTCATTTTCCACTCCAATTCACTACTCATACCAGGATAATCATATATAAGGACAGTAATACGCCAAGTTCATCACACAAAACCAAGAACAAAGCTATATAAAGTCACTCTTTCCCTCGGTCAGTTTTGTGCAGAATTCTAGCCATGAAAACAGTGAAAGAAATGGTGTTCTTACCACTTAAAACTCCTGATTTTGGTTCAAATCTAATGCATACTTATAACTTAACATATTATAGAGTATTTTGAGCAAAATTGAGTTTAAAATCATCATGAAAATTTAGAAATCAAGGCTGCATTTTCAGCCCTAAATTTCGGCCAGCAAGCAGAATTTTCTCCAATGGATTTTCAAACATTACTCCGATTAATTTCCTAATTTGTCAACTAAACCTACCTAACAAATCCATAAGGTTTCATCATCAACATAACAATAAATATATGTAAGCCAAAATTTCAACAAGAAACCCATCATAATCACATATACATACAAACCCTAACAAAGCCATGAAATTGCCACAAACATGCTTCCTTTATCTTCTATAACATCAAACCTCAAATAAAATCAAAAATAAGAAAAGATAACTAAGGTTTCTAGCCAAATTCAACTCTTTACTCCAAACCCAAAGATGACAAGCAAATCAAGAGAGATGATAGATTTTCTTCTTCTAAAACTTCACCAAAATCTTCTCTCCAGACTTACCTCAAGATTGATCGCATAGATTAGATTTTTCATTGGATTCTTCACGATTTAAGCAAGAGATCAAGGCTGAATTTTTTTTGTGTGTTTTCTCTCCCTTTCCTCTCTCAAAATTTCGTCCATGATGTGTGCAAGAAAAAAAATAATGAAAATGAAAAGGTTTGGTCAAGATAAGAAGAAGAAAGCATGGTCTTGGTCAAACTTGGTTGGTCAAGCTTGGTTGGCTAATTGACAAATGTCAAGGAAAGATGTATTGTCTATCTTTTTGCCTCTCTATTTGTCTCTAATAACTAACATATCTAATACCTCTCTAATTAACTCTTAACACTTCTTGTCATATAATTCCTTTTACGCAAAACTCCTTTTAATCCTCCAAATTTATTGCACGCACCTCACTAGTCGATCACACTAGTATCATGTACTATAAAATTTAACATGTATCAAATTAAACATGGGCCTAAGGTAAATAAAGTAATAGGGTTAAGAACACACCTCAATTATCAAAGCAACTACAAATTCAACGCAAGCAAGAAAAACAAGATAAAAGATAAGAACCTAATTTGCGGGGTCTCACAAATACTTATATCCTATAACGATTTAAGTTTTAAAGATTTCATTCACTTTGCTTTTTGTTTTTTATCAGGCAGCACCACAGTTTTTTGTTCTTAATTTGCCACCTTTAAATTTAGCAAATCATATACTGCAATAAGCATAAAAAATTTATTTGGCAATCTATATAGTTATACACAAACATTAACAACAACTTATTAGACAAATAGGCAACTACCTACTTAATAATACCATAATACATAAACTATTACCAACGTACTACAAAATAAGAACTCCAACACCTATCATAGACCAATGGCAGCAAGTTTCTTAGTCATTCTGCCTATCAAAACTATGAGAACTCTTAAGAGAATGCGACCTTGGTTGCAGCAACATTTGCTCTCTACTTCTAGCTTCCTTCATTCTTGAAACAATTAGTTCCAGCATAGGCAGACTTCTACCACTTACTAGAGCACTATGCAAAAAAGGCCCCCCCATATTTTAATGCCTATAAAATTATTTGAACAAGTCATATATCTCATTTTAAGCAAAATACTATTCACTTGAGCCTATGCAAGAGGTTCAACTGTGTGATTGCAATAACTATTAAGGAGTATCACCTTAAGAGAGCCTATCAAAGAATCCAATATGTAAATCAGGAACCCAAACTCTGGCCCAAAAACTTAAACTATTAGATCTCATACTCTTAGTTAGATATTGATTGCTTTTTCTCCATCTCTCGGCCTGATGTGGAATATAATTCTTTACTCATGAATCTAACAAATCTCCTATTTCATGAGTAACCCTTCACATTAAACCTAAGTTTACAGGCTCTTCTCCAAATTCATTGTAATACTCAACGCGAACCCATCTTAACACCTAAGGTTATCTCTTCTCTCAATCATGGACCCACTCTTCTTGAACATCCAAACTAGGTTTTGGATCCCTGCCAACCCTTGGCTCCTTGATCTAACATGAATCAAACTTATGCCAAATCTATGACACATCTGGTCCAACACCAGCCAAACCCCTTGACACTTCAGTCCACCATCAAGAAGAGAATATTCTCTGGTTCAATTCCGAGAAGAATCCATTTGCCTATAAGTAGTCCAGTCTTATAACCAAAAGTTCTGATACCACTTGTTAGGGAGAATCACTTCAAGAGAACTCATCAAAAAGTTCAATATATAAGTCAGGAACTCAACTTTGACCCAAAAACTTAAACTATTAGGTCTCAAGTCCTTACTTACATATTAACCGCTCTTTTCCATCTCTCAGGTTGATGTAGAATATAATCTTTACTCATGAATCTAACGACAACAATTTTCCATAGGAAAGCAAGCACCACCAACAATTGTCAATCTATTCAATTTTTCTCCAATTCTGTATAATTATCTTGAACATTTAGAAACCTTCTATTTGTAACTGCCATCTAAAATGAAATAAATCATACAAAAACCTTAGTTAAAAAAAACTCCATCAACCAACAAAGACCTATGTATCAGATCCGTACCTCATATCTAGAACTCACATCACATGTATATAGTGCCATCTTTTATACAATCACATCACAGCAACACTTAATGCTGCGAAAATCGAAAACCAACAAATTTCTGCTATG